CATCTCATGGTCGGAAAAAACTTGTCATTGTCAATGGCAGTCTGACAGGGATGAAATCATTGGGCCTCTTGTGCGGTCGTTCATTCAAGGACAAAGACGTAACTTCACGCCTCAGCAAGATAATGCCCGTTCACATGTCGCTCGAGTTGTGACAGATTTCCTGAGACAGCAGAACAATTCGGTACCCCCTTGTACAGCTGCACCTGTCCCCTATCGAGCAGGCTTGGGATGAAATGGAGCGACGTTTACGTGAAGCCCAGAATGAGCCACTGACGTTAGCTGAATTGTGACAAGCGTTGGTTCAGACATGGAACAACATTCCCCAAGCTTTCTTCAAGCTCTTATTGTCGTCTATACGTCGTCGTTGCCATGCCTGCATCAACTCCAATGGTGGACACACACGATACTGAATTTGTGAACTGACTTTTGACACCTCATCTCTTCAAGTGCGTGTCACAATGCTCTACATACATAGGGGCTCTTGTCTGGTCTGGAAAAGGCATAGTCCGATTGGAACCGCGTTTGCACTGTACAAAGACCAGAAGTCAATGTCTGAATAGGTATATAAGCCCACATCATTCAAATAATACAACAGTCCTTAATCGCAGTATATGTGTGGGTATATGTCGATTTTAGATAAATGGCTTACCTTGCATAAGTCTCTAATAGCTGTAAGGATAGTTTCAATCCAGCTTGAGTCCATGCAGGTAACAAAAGCACTGTAGGTCCTCATGGTCTCTAGTATAGTGACCTTCCTTCACTTGTTGGCGATCTATAGCCCGTTTAAAGAATGTATTGTTGATTATACTAATATATTTTTATAGTTACGTTCTAGTTTTAAGATAAATGCTGTGATGTCCATTGATTTTACTCTTTGATTATTCTTTGAAGTTGTTCTGTATTAATAGATAGTTTGTGTAGTGATAATATGGCTGAATTATTGTCGATTTGACTTTAAATGTTAACTCACTCACTCACTCAGTGTCTGAATACTCGACCTTGTTGTATTGCACAGCAGGGTTTTTGGCATAGGCAAGATGCAACCTCATGTATTCACAACTTGAAGGCAAGAGAACATAGTGTGGAAGCGTGGAGGTTAGCAGTGTTGACCGACAATGATGAGGCAGAACGCCCGAACTCGAGTTCTGTTCAGCTTCCGTGTGGGGTCCGGCCATTAATCTACCACTCAGTTTACAGTTTGCAACGCAAACACAACCAACATATAGGAACATGTGATGGGCTGAGTGCATACTGTGAATGAAAATCGACCCTAGGAAGTACTACAGTAACTGAAGAAAAGTTAACAGTAGAATAATGTACAAAAAGTAACTACCAACTATCCAGAATATATGAGACACCAATCCCGAATAACAGGTTCTCTATCGAAGGTCATAGTATATTGTCGCAGGAATGAGGAGTAATATGTCACTGTGCATTCTCCTGGAGACCCGACCCATGAGGATTCGGGTTAGAATTGGTCTTCAGGATCCCATACTTGTGGTAACAGGCAAAAAACGAGATCGGGTGGACAGGTTCGCTGACTTGTTTGACACATGTCATCGTATCCCAGTTGCGTAGCTCGATGCTCGTGCTGTTGATCACTGGATTGTCTGGTCCTGACTCGATTATTTACAGACCGCCGGAATATTGCTGTGAGCTTCGTTAAACAGCAAACCAAACAACCAACAACCCTGGAGACCCGGTAGCTATACATGAAAAAACAATAACATAATGGTATATAATGTCATTGTATAGAACCACTAACTATTTAGGCTACCTCATCGCCCCACTGACAAATGACTGTTCGATAATAGGTTGCCGACGACAAAACACCTGTTGCAGTAGGAAGAACTGATTTTAACTGACCGCTTTTAAAAATTAATCGTTAAAGGGTGTCCCGCTCTCAGCGTGAGGTCTCAGGAGTTGGGAGACCATAATTTCACGACAAACAAGGTTGGCGAAGTCCAGATCTAAAGCGGCGGAACCACGCTCAAGTAAACTTCCGGAAATAATCTGTGCCTTTTTCATACGCTGGTAAATCAGCCGTAAATCAACTCAAAATTATCGATGTTATCAAACACTTTATTAGTCCACACAGCTGTGAATGGGCACCTCGTTATGATGAGAAAGCCACAATAACTCGGTGAGCCTAGTGGCTGCAAGACTTGTATACTCCCCAGGGATTTGAGATTGATAATACGATGAGCCGTTGAGATTGACATCCAATGATCGAGAGAAAAAATACCAGCCTTGAGCATGCGCTTGCCTGGATATGTGCGCTATATAAATATCCTATGATAAATAATTATCAAGTCATGTATTTGGATGACTTAAAGCAAAACCTTTTAGATTTTAAAGGTTTCAAAAGCTATTACTGCAGATGCATTGAACAAATCTGATGGGAGTAAAGGGTAAGGTGCGTATGATTAAGAGTGAGTGAGTGGATTTAGTTTTACGCCGCACTCAGCAATATTCCAGCTATACTGCGGCGGTTTGTAAATAATTAAGTCTGGACAGTCCAGTGGTCAAAGCATGAGCATCGATCTGCACAATTGGGAACCGATGACATGTGTCAACCAAGTCAGCGAGCCTGACCACCCGATCCCGTTAGTCGCCTCTTACGACAAGCATGGGTTACTGAAGATCTATATATAGTCTAACCAGGACCTTCACTGGTCGGTATGATTTAGAAGCCGATCATTGTATAATGATTTATGCCATTGAGAATAAGGCCTGGTGCTTTTTCGAGATTCATCGAACGCAGCCCATTTGATCTCAATTTAATATTACACATTCTACCATGAGTTCAGTAAATACTGGATTGTGATTGGTTAATTAAAGTACTTCAGAGGTATCACGTTATGCTGCAGGTGTCTGATTTTCCGTAAGCAATTATACATGGTTTACGTTAATGCACTATTTTCGTCTGCCCACCAACATGGCGGTCACCAAACAAACTACACCGATGCATCGATAAATTACGGCGATTTTGCTCTCGGAAATTACACATATGTCTTTAAGATGGATTTAGCGATGATGGGCTCCACTCACTACTTACGTAAATCACAGAAATAGGTGTTAATCCATACAAAAATAATTTACAAGCATATATTAACACGGTAAAACTTTTACCAAATTATGACAGTATATATTATTTAAAACTGGACATGTACAGATTAACTGACCACGGTTCACAATCTTCAAGCTGCCAAGGGTCACATTGATAACGAACATCCGAAACCAGTATCTGGTCTGGGTCTGCAGATAGCAATAAGCTAATCAAATTCAATGTGAACCTCACCCATCAACACCGATGTCTTCAATACGTTTATGAAAATTATCATATAATCCGGTCAAGATAGAGTAGCTTAAGTGCGCAGTTGGCACCGTATCGTCAGTCGAGTTAGGCAATAGGATTTAAATATAGCAACTGAAGTTCACAACAACTTTATCGTCATCTTTATCAGTAAATGGGATTATCTATGATAACTGGAACAGGTATAAAACAGGGACGACACACAGTCACAAATCATCCTGTGACTGCTGTGTAATAAACTCCTTGTTTATTTTACTCAGGTAAGAAACTTTACTTTCTTCTACTTTGACAAATCTTTACCGTTGCTATTCTATATTAACTGTAATCTATTGTAGAAACCTTACTATATGTCCAACTCTCGGCGCAACCGTTAGGTCTATGTGGAACGTGGCGTCGTGTAATATATCTCACAATTACTCTGTATTACTGTTTAGGATTGTTTATTTGATAATGATCAACTCTACGTTGTTTAGTGGCTATTGTAGATTGTATAGAGTGTGTCGGGTATCCTAACTATTGCATTACGTGCAAACACGATGTTATTTATTGACTGTTGTAGAATGCACATTGTATGAACACCCACTGGGGTGAATCGATGTCTAGATTGTATAGAGTGTGTCGGGTATCCTAACTATTGCATTACGTGCAAACACGATGTTGTTTAGTGACAGTTGTAGAATGCACATTGTATGAACGCCCACTGGGGTGATGTCTGGATTGTATAGAGTGTGTATCCTAACTAGTACATTGCGTTATGAGCAATATGCTGTTTTGTGCGGTATGAACGCCCACTGGGTTGGTGTGTAGAGTATTGAACAATCACATTACGTTGTATACTTTTGAATGTGTATCATGAATAATGTAGTATGTGTAACGAATCCAAGTATGATGTTTATGTACTTTGATAGATGATTACATTGTTAACATGTTCTAATAATTAATTATAAACCATACCATTATTGATTGATTATGTGAAATCATCCTGTGACTGCTGTGTAATAAACTCCTTGTTTATTATTTTACTCAGGTGTTGTGTTGTGTGTGGGTTGGTATAGTCATACCTCTTGCCAAGCGAGCTAATTCCCCAACACTCGCGTTTTAACACATAGAAACAAATATTCAGTCGAACAAGATCAAAACATCCTCTGCTTTCCGAATAAAAAATCAGCAAGAAAAATATGTTTACGTTGATTCTATGTTATGTCAAAATAGATTAAGCAAGTGACTGCTACATAATTTCCATATTGAATTTATTATCAGTTTTCGTCAACGATATCGCCACTGATCTTGATCCGGTAACGGAGGATGCATTATAACATCGAACGCCGAAGAAGTGTTTCCTACTTCGTGCGTTTACACTTCAATGAAACATAAATTAACTGAAATATATAAAGTTGTATTCATGCATGTCTGCGAATCCGGTCTAAAACATAGACGTGAAAGGTGCTTGTATATGGGGCAATATACGACGAATATACGTTTCAAAGTTAAATTTGAGCGAACCTTGACAGCCTAACATAAATAAGAATGCATTTATTGTTTTGTGGCAGTCAGATGTTAGCTCTCATTAACGAATCGGTCTTACTTCGTGTGCTGGGGTCGGCTATTCCATGCTCACGCTGCACACCAGAGAGGCGCGTAGTACAGAGCGACATAAGGACAAAGATAATCTCACACCGGTAAAATGGCTGTGGGATCTAGGGCGGTGGTCACAGCTCTTGCTGGTGCCGCATTACTTGCTGTTGTAGTTCTATATACTTCCCGGGATCAGATCGGATACACAAAGAACACCATCATGCGGATGATTTCAAGTGAAGGTAACACTAAAATAACCATACCTGTAATTGTAGGCTGTCTTAACTGCCCTAAGGCCTGTTTGAACAATTCACATATAGTATGACCAGAAATTATTGAGAATTTTAGGAATATATTTAATTGGATTTCTAGCATAAACAACCTTGACCAGCTATCAAGTGCTTGGTTTCATTCAAGAGAGACAACTCTGTTAATCCTTTTTCATTAGTTTGTGAAGAGTTATCCCCCTTTGTTTACTTGATAGCAGACGACATTTCCAGTGATCCTCAGTATCGATGATTTAGAGAAGAGGAAGTTGATTTTAGAGTATTATAACAAGGACATCAGATCAGCTAAAGTGATTTCAAGTAGAACAGGCATCCCTTTGTCCACTGTTTATCGTGTTTTGAAAAATATTGCAAATGGATATGGCATTGAGCACCAGGGAGGCGCAGATAGGCCCAGAAAATTGACTGTCGGTGACAGGAGGCGGCTTGGTATTCTTGTTTCTAAACACAAACGAAGGAGTTTAGAAAACTTAAGGCTGGATATGATTGATAGAGAAACTGTGGCTGTCTGTAAGGAGACAATTAGAACTAAGCTCCATGCAATGGGTTGGCAGAAAAGTCGAGGAATTCCATCACCGATCATGAAAGCCTGAACAAAAGGAGCGAAGGTTGAACTGGTGCTTACAGCATAGAAATTTTAACTGGGACAATGTGATTTTCTCAAATGTCTCTATAGACATTTTTGGATTTCCCAGCAGGACAACAACCCAAAACATCGTTCAAAGCATTCACAGGCCTGGTTTCGGACCCAATATATGACAAGCTTTAGCCCTGACCTAAATCCAATAGAAAATGATTGGAGACTTATGAAGGAAAGTGTCTATAAGAAAACTCTGACAAATATTGCTGAAATGAAAGAAGAGGTGGTCCGATATTGGGACAGCATGGACCACGACTTTCTAACTTCTTTGATCTGCGGTATGCCCCGCCGCATTGAAGCCTGCATTGCTGCCCATGGTGACTTGACAAAATACTAACTGTTCACCTGTCTTTGAATCTGGAATTATGTTCTGCCAATATTCACATTTAATACGTGTGAAATGAGTGAAATTTAAAAAAAAAATTACAATCTTTAAATTCTCAATAATTTCTGGTTGTACTGAGTGACATTCTATGTTAATGACCTTGATTCAAGTAACTGTTTCGCGTTTACAAGCCCAACTAGCAGACACGCGAAAGTAATCATATCCATACAAATGTAGGCTCAGATGGTCTAACTTTTTGAAGTGAGAATAATTTCCTGGTCCCTAGTTGAGGAAGAGAGACGATGTGATCTTCCTTGCACTTTGAAAGGAATATTTTGTTTCACAAGCTACATCGGCAGTGCTAGTTGTTGACTGTTTACGGACTAGACAGGTTTTCATGAACGTTCTAATGTTCATGTTTTAAATAGATGTCTAATTCAGCGAATTAATACTTTATGTCAGAATTGGCGTGTGTGGTTTGAATGTAAAGAAGCGCCGTTAGTGTCTGACGTGTTCACTTGCTTTAATTTCCGAAAAGTAAACGTAGACCTACACATGTAATTGATTCCAAACCGTTGGGCACCTTAAATATTACTAATCGAAATCATTGCAGTAAACTATGAAAATAGAGCAGTGTAAGCAAAGAAACTGCTTTTCATAGGAGTCTTTGGGTTCATAACTTCAGCAACTTTTCAGTGATCCATTCATATGCACTCGCTTGCTGTGTTGTTGTGTACGCCTTATGTGCTTAATCGTCATATAAACGAAACACTGTACATGTTCAAAACGACACCTTCATATACTGAAATCCGTCACACGGTGAACTAGTTGGATTTTTGTTTCTTTGTTTGTTGTTTAACGTCGCCACTATATGACGACGGTCTGTCTAAACTGACGTTCAAAAGAAAGTACACACCTGATTCTTTGGTAAAATATTTTCTTTAAAACAGCATTAATATCTAAAAAGTGATTTGATTCTGCCTTGTCACAAACATTGTGCGAGTGTTTCCAAAACACCACAGATACTGTACCCAATTACAACATTGCTAGCAAAATATTTATAGTTTTAATGGGAATAGTCCCAAAACACTAGGTGTGTACTTTCTTATGTACGTCAGTATATGTTACTATAAATATGTATGATCGGTAAATATGCATATTTACTGATTCCGTCAGAAATTATGTATATTTACTGAAATTTTCAGGATATATTGACTGAAATCTACCCTGATTCATTATACATATTTACTGAAATCAAGATCTGATCAAGAATGAAATTTAAACCCACTACAGTAGCATCCCCGATGTACATGTAGAGTATTCGTGATGCTGTTTTGTCCCTTCCCTATCTCTGTAAATGACGTCCCTTTCTTAGGATTTTTTAGTTATCTTTCGTGAATTGTTATGGTGTTTTCCGTGAGAAAAGTTTACTATTCAGAATTATTCTTACAGAAGATTATAATTTTGAGCCATACACGACCTTATGGTTTCGTTTCACCAACGACATCTGTAGTGTATTGTTAAAATGTATGATTTTTGAAATATAAACACTGTTTTGACACATTAGTAGGTCATAATGATATTTTACTGAATTCGGTTCAAACTGTGGATGATATATATAATTATGCAGGTGTTTCATCGGTCGTGCATGATTCCTTTGTGTTTTCCTGTTTTTAAACAACATAATTATGCGATTGATACAAAGAGACCATATGGACCGAGAAATGGTATCCACCTTTCCATTAACGTCAACTGACTGTAAACACAATAGTATAAATTGAATATGGTAAAGCGTTGTTTTTATGCTTTCAATGTAATTACCATATCACGTACATCCCTTCCGTGGAAGTAGTAACACTGATGACATTTATGAAAAAGCCCTCTATTGTCCACAACGCTGTAAACTAGTCATTCGGATGTTTTTAAAGATAAAAAATATATTTGAAATATGAGGTGATATTTGTCAAAAATTGAAGTGCTCGTAACTGCCATACTTTAACATTGACTTACGAAGGTTGTAGCGCTATGATCGCTTTGTGCAAGTGGGCCCTGGAGCATTGTGTACAAAGAGTATGAAGTATTTCTGCACTTCTATCACAAGCTTCGTAGGAATAAGGAGGTGGATGTATTTCTCATTGTTCACATGAAACTGGAGAAAAGGTCTACATTCATGGGGAGGACTTTTGATTCCTCAATTTATAAAAAAATGAATATGTATCTGCCATTGTCTTTTGATTTGCATAACACTGTACATGCAACCATGAAGTATATGTGTGTGTATTTATCATATGCAGTAGACTAACGGCTCGTCTCTCAACAGAACCCGACCGCGTCAAACCAAAAGACGTTAAAATATGGTACTCGTTGGTCCCTGCCTGGCGCTCGGCATTAATGGGTACAACAAGGACTGGTCTGCTCGGAGTCAGTATAATGTGTCTGAGTGGGGTATTCATGCTTCACTGCGGCATGGTATCTCAGTGGGCTAGCACTATCAAACCAGCTTCAGTCTGTGCTAGTACAAGCAGCCGCACATACACATACACACGCATGCACGTCGTCATATGAGCGAAATATTCTCAAGCACGACGTTAAACCCAATTTCACCTCACCTCAACTCACCTCTCAACAGAATGCCAAAATCGTAGTGAACGCCGTTTTAGAGATCACCTTTGAATGGACAAATTAGGTATGTTGCGATTAAAAATTGCTAAATGTAATGTAAGTCCCCATGGTCCCTAGCATGGTGATCTACCTTCAGTTGCTGGCGATCTACAGCCCGATTTTATATTGTGTTGTTTTGAAATGATTTAGCATTTTACACTGAACTCAAACTAGTTTTAATTAATTTGTGATAATCTAGTCGTTATACTGTCTTTCGCTGACATGTTTTTACAAATGTATAAATATATTTATTCTTAGTATATAACTTTTTGTCGTCACGATGTGGCTGAAATATTGCCGATGTGACGTAAAACTTTAACTCACTCACTCGAATTTCAACTACTGATTTATTCTGAAGCGCCAAATCCTAGTGAGAGATTCCGGTTTTGATATCTGTGTCAAGAAAACACTGTGTGAGTGATTGAGTGAATTTAATTTTACGCCGCTTTTAGCAATATTCAAGCAATTTCACGGAGGGGGACACCAGGTCTTCGGAGTGACGAGCGAACGCTTTGACCACTAGGCTACCCGACCGTCCCAGAAAACACTGTGACGGTTGCGTTGTCAGTTCTTATTGTCAAGTACAGTCTCCCCCTCAGTACAACGAGTGAGCCAGTGAGTATAGTTTTACGCCACACTACGCAATATTCCAGCTACACGGCAGCGGTCTGTATAAAAAATTGAGTCTGGACCAGACAATCCAGTGAACAACAGCAGGAGCATCGAACTACACAAATGGGATACGATGACATGTGTCATCCAAGTCAGCGAGCCTGACCACCCGATCCCGTTAGTCGCCTCTTACGACAAGCATTACTGAAGATCAATTTTACAGCCCAGTATACATGATAAACTCTACTCATATTTAATCTACTGACAATATAATGAATTACTGAACTGAAGAGGCTGCCAATAGTTAATACGCATTGTAGCAATATTTTACGGGGTTGAAAATTTTACTTCATAGACATTATGAATAGAAGGAATGTTTGATTTAGACTGATAGAAAACCCATAGGCATTATTATTAGGCATTATATAAAGTGATAATGCTTCATCTGGGGGGCGGTGAGGGTGGCCTAGTGGTTAAAGCGTTGGCTCGTCACGCCGAAGACCCGGGTTCGAATCCCCACATGGGTACAATGAGTGAATCCCATTTCTGGCGTCCCCCTCCGTGATATTGCTGGAATATTGCTAAAAGCGGCGTAAAACCAAACTCAGTCAGTCAGTCAGTCATTTGGACGGTAAGGTAGGAATGAATGTGTCAAGAACCTTTACGTTCCTCAACTAGCGATGTGTATTGAAGTGTAGTGCCCCCCCTTCCCCGCCACACACACACACACACACACACACAATTTTCTAAACTTTGATGTGGCTTTGTTTGTTAATTATATTCTCAAAAAAAGAAACGCATAGGTGTGTTTTCACGAATTTAATCTGCTAAATTTAACGTGCGATAACACATGTAATCCTGGATCATTTGCAGCCACATTTCACTGTATAGAAGATCCAATGTATGTTAACATGTATAGGTTATAATGCTCAACTTCAATAAAAGAAGACGTCCGGTCCCAATTGGGCGTTGACTTCAACATCATAAGTGGTCAAAGTTCTCTGCACGGTCTCGGCATGGACTGAATAAGTCTTTGAATACGACATTGTTGAATGCTGGCCCATTCCTCTTGCGATGCCTGCGACAGTTGATGTAACGTTTGGGATGCGGGTTGACGTTCACGTACGCGTCGGCCGAGGTCATCCCACATATGCTGGATGGGGTTGAGGTCGTGCGATTTCGAAGGCCATGGACGCACTGTACTGTTCTCACTCTGAAGGAACCGAATTGTGGAATGTGTTGTGTGAGGCCTGGCATAATCTTGCTAGAACAACTCCCTCTGGCGGTCAGTGATCGGAACCATGTGAATCCTTAAGGCATATGTCTCCCCACACCATGTCACCCTCACTACCATATCGGTCAACTTGGGCGACACAATTCTGGGCAAAACGTTCATTTCGACTTCGATAGACTCTTCCGTCACGGCACTGATGCAGAAAGTGTGATTCGTCATTGAACTATACACGTTGCCAGTTTTGTAGATTACAGAATCGAACGTTATTGCACCATTGACCCGTCGAAGTCGATGAAGTCATCGCAGTACAGTGCTTCTGGTTTTAAGTCCAGCTTCTCGTGAAGGATTACGAATGTTTTGCGGAGACACTTTCTTCAAACCAGGCACTGGGCTTGCACTTGCAGTTGCAGCTGCTGTGACAGTTCGATTCCGCAAATGAAGTACCCGGATGTACCTATCTTGTCTTTCAGTTGTAATCCGAGTTCTCCCACTTCGAGACGGATGTTGCGTAGAACTGTTTGTTCATATCGGTCCCATAAACGACTGGTGAACATGGAGGTGACGTACAACGGCAGATTGAGGCTCCCCACCCCCAGACGTCAATGGCAATGTTCCGATTTACAGCAGTGAGCCGCGGCATTACGATATTCTTAAGTTTCATTAAGCTGGAAAGTGACATTGATCTCCTAAGAGCAAAACTGCACATGCATAATGCGAACCAATTTTTCTCCATACAAGTTGACAATTTCGAGAGAAATCATGCATTAAAGTTTCCGAAGATGCGTTTTTACAGTGAGCATTTGTTCCCTTTACACAAACCATTATTACGGCGAAATTATGACGAACACTAATTTTTTTAAAAATATATTACATTTCATATTTCAATATCATCTATGCGTTTCCGTTTTCAAGTTATATTTGGGGTTACATTTTCTGGGTAATAACATCTGGCAGAACTGATAACATCGGCCAATCTCCTCTTCATACTGGCAATCAAACATCAAAGTCTCAGCATCTTGGCGTCCAAGACAGTCTTCGATGACGTTGTTGTGCAATTGGGCGATGACGGCCCCAGAACGGTGAGGTCATCCATGAATATTGGACGACTGGCAAGGGGACAGTTATGGAAATGTGGCAGTGCGAGGTATCCAGTGCTTCCTGTTGATAACGCTGACCACTGAGTGTCCCAGGACATGGGATCTAACATACAGTTACCGAAACCTCACACTGAGCTAAAACGAAAGGATTCAGATGCATGAAAATCTTCAGGTGACATGGCTTGTTGCAACGCCCGTCGGTAATGCGAAGAAGATAGCGACTTTAATCACACCAACAACCTCCGCATGGAACTGCATCTTGGTAAACGAATCATGACTCGATCATGGTGGCCATTAGTTTTCCTCGATCTTGGACGATCCTTAACATTACCGGTGTCCACGTGTTTCCTAACAAATCGACTAACGATGTCGTGGTTAATGTTAAAGTTAGCACCCATGTTGCAACTGGACATCTCTACGTCATGCATGCCAATACCTTGCCATCGTGTTCTTTTTATTTACAATTCTACTGGCAAACAAGGATAAGTTGGATCGGCGCAGAGAACGCGTTTACCAGAAGTAGGGTGTGCACGGCAGTGAGCAAACCCATTTGGTTTTGAAAGGTAGAGCAGATGTAGGCTAGTGCACGTACATTGCATGACAATGAACTTGATTCCGCGCGTAGCTGCACACGCCTTGCTCATAAGACTCTCACGTCGGTGTAGCAAGTCACACTACGCTTGATCGCGGACAACCTGAGGCACCTTCTCTAACAATGGCAAGTGCTCATACGTGTCAATTGTCAGGTTGGTGCTCAACTTATCCTTGTTTGCCAGTACGTCTTGCCGTATCACGAAACGTGACAGTATTAGATTTGATCAGGATTTGCCATATGTAGAAATTACATCTTGCTCAATAGAGAAAGATGTATTGTGTAAGTGGAGTTGGTTGACAAGATGTTTTCTGTGTTGATAATGAGGGCTAAGTGCTGTTTCACTGCGCTATTGTGGATGTTGTCGAGATGACCTTCTGTGCGAAAGTGGTGCTAAAAAACGCAAATTATCAAATGACACATGATCTCCATGTTCACATATACTTGGTATGCAGATCGGGCGTGACACAACGTAGAGATGTGTTCTATAATGAGTGAAATATGTGGCATCCAAGTAACGAGCCCTATATTCAGCTAGTGCGCTGATATGATACCATGTGGAATGTCTTGTGATCCTTTATGATCCACGAATATTAAGAGCTGGAAGGAATATTGTGTTTTCAGACAGGGTTCCGATCCGCACTAAGCGTTGAGTAAGGTACAATTGCAGATCCGCTGGTAGAAGTCCTTGACTCGCCTTTGTGTCGCCTGAACCATGGAACCTGTCAGACTCAAGTTTACAAAAAGACGGATAACCAAAGAGACTGGCTGTTGCTGTCGTGGCGTACGATAACATCTGACCATGACAGTTCTCCCCAGACTATTTTACTAAAGCTTCAGTCAGTTGCTGCCATTGTCAATCGATACCAATAAAACTATTTCCATCTTTACTGCGTCGTAGCACAAGTTAGTTAGAAGCACAAGTTTGTCTCGTTAAAAGTATGAAATCATAAAAGTAAACCTGTTCAATAACTTATTTTCTAGTGTCTTCACACATGCATGAGAGTCATATGCACCCAAATGATGACAAGGATCCTTTAAAGATTACAGAATGGTGGCAGGCCTCTTCCCTTTTGAAGTGGTAGGTAACCCTTGTTGCAAATGTGGCCCTCAGACGTGTATTGTCATACGATAACAATAGCAGCGTTCAGTTTAATATATTATCCTTCACATACAGTTGCTAGCCAGTCTGGAACGTTTAGGAGTGAGGACAAAATTTTGAGTTTGTGAGACAAACGAAAATGAATAATTGCTCGTTTTACCAAGCATATACACATATTCACTTGCAGTTGTTGATATGTAGTACTCATTGCTGCGCATGTTGTACATCGGTTCTCTTTTGTATAAGACTCCATATTGATCGATAGGGCCTTAACTTGAGGGGCGGTGGGGTAGCCTAGTGGTTAAAGCGTTCGCTCGTCACGCCGACGGCCCGGGTTCGATTCCCCACATGGGTACAACTTGTGAAGCCCATTTCTGGTGTCCCCCGCCGTGATATTGCTGGAATATTGCTAAAAAGCGGCGTAAAACCATACTCAGCCAGTCAGCCTTAACTTGAAACTCGCAATCTTATGAACACTAATCTATTGGGACGGTGCAGTAGCCAAGTGGTGAAAGCGTTCGCTCGTCACGCCGAAGACCCCTGTTCGATTCCCCACATGGATATAATGTGTGAAGCCCATTTCTGGTGTCTCCTGTCGTGATATTGCTGGAGTATTGCTTAAAGCGGCGTAAAACCAAACTCACTAATCTTCTAATAAAACGAGAAATATAATAATCCGGGTTGAAAACAAAAAAAAACATTGTTCAATTATTAATTAGAATCCAACGATTATAGTTAATTGCTTTGCGTGGATACATTACAATATAGCTGATGTGTGCGTGCGTGCGTGCGTGTGTGTGTGTGGAGGCATTAATAACCATATTGTGTGCTTTTTACAGGGACTGGGAGAAACCCCCCGGAGTACACATGCAGTAAGATTGAGAGGAAGGGCAGCTGGCACATTTGTAACGATGGAACCTTTAACGTCAAGCCACCGTGTCTTGTCTACTCCTTTGGGTCAGTACAAAGAACACATACATTCCAAATTCCATGTTTTTGCATCTGTACCCTAAGGTCCAGTAAATCTGCAAATATCTGCCTTGTAAACATTGCTCATGGTGGTTGACACTGTAATCTTGCCGTGTCAAACATGGATAGATGCTAGATGCCAGCGTCGACCAGTAGGGTGGTGATCGATCTCCAACAGATAGTCTCCTCCTGCCGGTCGGTCGGGTTTGACGGGATAAGCAAGAAAAGGTCGGCCCGGAGAACATATGGTGTTTGATGTGATGAACTGCATCGTTGTGTCTCAGTGGTCTATGATGTGTTTTTTATATCATTGAAGGATTTGGAAAGACTGGTCGTTTGATGATGCAATGGGAAACGTTGGCTGTGAAGTTCATTCTTTTGATCCAAGGTAAGAACTCAACAGAATTACGCAGTGAAACCATTTTACATAGATGACACAGAGATTCGGCAGATGCTTGTTGAATTATACATGATTAGAGATATTGAAATGCAAATATATCACCAGTTGTTTAAAACGCCTTTATTTATATTACGATGTCTTACTACACATAATATTCCAGAACAAGAAGAAAAGTTTAAATCCATATTAGTCTTATATTGGACTAAAGTTGAGTGTGTGAGAGTGGTTTTACGCAGATTTTAGCTCTATTCAAGCAATCTGGAGGACACCATTAATGGGCTTCACACATTGTACCCATGTGTGGAATCAAACCGGGTCTTCAGCGGACGAGCGGACGCTTTAACCAATAGTCTACCCTACCGTTCCGACTAGGGTTGAAGACACAACTAGGTGATTCCTGGAACGAGCTCCGTCCAAACGGAATAGCCATTGTGTCTATGGAAAGATAACAATGATACGTCATAATTAAATTAAATGACTTAACGATGTGCTTAAAGTTATCCTTCCAGCTGTGGCGAAGTGCATACAAACAATGAAGTCTTCTTCATCTTCCCTCATCACTGTCGGTGATTTAATTTGGCTGGTAGAACAATCCCAGCAATGTACAGCGGCGTGACACCTGGTGTCCTCGCTGATTTTCTCAGATCCCTTCATTTCATTTTCACTTCGCACACTTGTACGCCCAAAGTGAGCTGGGTGAGTTCAGTTTTAAGCCGCACTAAGCAATATTCCAGCTATATGGCGCCGGTCTGTAAATAATCGAGTCTGGACCAGACAATCCAGTGATCAACAGCATGAATATCGATCTACCCAATTGGGATACGATGACATGTGTCAGCTAAGTCAGCGAGCCTCACCACCCGATCCCGTTAGTCGCCTCTTACGATAAGCATTGGTTTCTTAAAGATCAGTTCCAGCCCGAATCCTCACGGGTGTGTACGCCCAAAGTAATTTGTATGGGAAGATAATCCAGACTTGCTGTTCTGTATCCATGACATGTTATAGTCAATTTACAATTTCAAACCATGTGTTATAGTATTGGGAAGGCGTCATTCAATAGAAGCAAGAATGTCCACTTCCATGACCTTGGCCTCTCTGGGAAAGACAGCGACACGTACGTTCCTACTAAGGACATATACGTTAACAAGACAACAACATGGAAGATCAGACGCCTCAAAACCATCATGGAGATGCTTGGACATACAAAAGTACGTACACGTTATATCTACAACTGTCATTTACAAAGTAATATGATTAAACATAGGTCAAGGGTAGATATCTGTTATTCAGGAAGAGGAACTGGATGTCAATTCAATTAAGATGAGACTGACACACACAGGTGCAATGGGTGAAGTTCATGTCTGGTGTCCCCTGCCGTCATATTACTGGAATATTGCCCATGGCGGCGGCGTAAAACGGTGTAAAACTACACTCACTCAGTCTCCCACTCCTGCGACTCTTATGGTCATGCAGGCATCCTTACACAATACAGATTTTGGTGTCATTCAGTTTTTCAATACTGAATGTATCTCGCAAACTGAGAATTGTCGCCATGTTGAGAAGACTTGCTTGAAACTGTCAGTTTGCTAGCACGTTGGACCAGTCAGCCGCTTCAGTAATATTGGCAAACCAAGGCTGGTAATTTGGGATTGCGGTAATGGAGTGAGTGAGCGGTTTTACGCCGCTTTACCAATATTCCAGCAACATCACGGCGGGGGACACCAGAAATGGGCTTCACACATTGTACCCATGTGGGGAATCGAACCCGCGGCTTCGGCGTGACGAGCGAACGCTTTAACCACTAGGCTACCCCGCCGCCCTACTGCGGTAATGGATCCAGGGTTGGTAAAATGTTCTTTTCTTCACTGGTGTTTAGGTTTCGTAAGTTATCAGACGTTCTCAGGAATGAGATCCGAGTTTGTAACGTTCTTGTATTCGTTATTATCTCCCGCAACGCGCTTTTCGGGGGGTATTTAAATGCGCTCCGTCCGTCCGTCCGTGCGAACTTAAAAACCTTTCAATATTTCTTCACCAAACTTGGCACATAGATACGTCTGGTGGTGAACTTGTGCCTTTTGGTAGTTTGGGATTTCTGAATAAGATATCTTTTGCGTTTCCATGGCAACAAGTTTGACTTCGACTGAAATTAATTGGTGTTGTTGCTCCTTTCCGGAGCAGAACTTTAAAACCTTTCAGTACTCTCCTTCCACTTTGCAATATAGTCACTGACTTGGTTGACACATACCAGTTGTGTAGATCGATGTTCATGATGTTGTTCACATGATTATTTGGTCAAGATTCTATTATTTACAGACCACTGCCATATAGCTGGAACATTGCCGAGTGGGTCATAAAACTAAACTCACTCACTCACTCACTGCCATATACACGCCAAAACATTAGACATAGTCATAACTAATTGACATATTCGTGAAGAGTATTTTGCCATTGCGGGGAGTTTTGATGACTTAGTCTTCGTATATAATTAGCTTTGTGAGAAACCCAAAAAGGGTAACATCCGGTAGACTCCCTCAAGGGAAATAACTCAGTATCCAAGTTCTAGAAGACCTTTAAAAGAACTTGTACACTTTGTGAATGGATGCGCGACACGTAACATAACAGGGCTTAGTTTTAGGTTTATCTAAATATCAGGCTATATATCTATGTTACACATCATTGTTTTCCCAGACACGATGATACAAGCGTATACAATAGTACGGTCGCCAACGGTCGTCAAATTCGAGGACTCAGATTTCAAAATAATTATTGTAAGATTAATAATTCTGAGTCCGACAGTCAGAAACGGGGAAACTATAATGTGAGGCATCGCACAATGATGCAGACACGGGGACAATGTAAGACAATGATGTGTCGATCGTCAGACACTTGGACACATTCTTGTTACATACCTAAGTGTCGTGCCGTCAAACACGGGCGAACGGAAATAATGCTTTGAAGACAGTAAGTTCCCGACGGTCAGCAATGGGGATGCTGTTATTGTAGAACAATGAAATAGTGAAGAACTCACTTTATCATACTCAAGTATATGGTATTGTCTGAGATATCCGCGTTATGTCAAACGACATCGAGAAATCATCAACATGACGAGCTTTCTACACACTTTCTATACAACTAACTGAAAATCGTACCTCATATGACGTCACTGCAGTGTTCTGGCGACAGAGTTACGTAACCTCTCTGTGGTTTCGTTGGCGGGCGAGGCAAGCAGGCGACTTTTTAGCAACTTTTAATCGCTCAGTATTAATTAACAACAAGTATTTAAAGAATGAATTTGGTGTTCCGCATAAGACTAACCACAAATCTTTCATATGTAATAGTTAAAAGAGTACAAAAAACAAAGTTTAATTGTTCTTTAAATTAACTTTCTGTTCTGTGTGGTGTTCGACGTTCAAGGATATAACAAAGCTCGGAAACAAAACACAGTGTCTGTGTTCACTACGTTATGTTAATTCACTGGGCTAGTACAAGAAACTTACTCGCGCACGCACACGTGTACGCACACATACAGAGACATCGCTCCAAATGTATTTTAGTTCAATAAATTGACGATAAACCAAACATCATCACGACGTGAAGGATGGTGAGCTTCATCAATCAGTCATACAGAACAGTGGAGGTGCATGGGCCGTATTTATAGCCAAAAACAGAAACCATTATGATACGAATGCCTCTTGCTAAGATACTGATTTTGCGAATACCTGGTGTCACCACATCATTCGGTGATCCATCTAAATATGTTCATCACTGTTTTGCCTTTGGCTGATTATCTCTAACGTTCTGTGTTATTTATTTTAGAGACACCTTGATATTCTGAAGATTGACATAGAAACAAGCGAATGGCCGGCGGTGAAGGACATTGCGGCATCTGGACTTTTCTCCAAAGTCAGACAGTTTGCTGTGGAGTGGCATCTATTTCCGACATATCCAAACAAATCTGAATACATAGGCTTTTATGCAGGCGTCATAGCCATGAAGAAGCAGGGATTACGGACGTTCAGAGAAAAATTTAAAAGCAGAAACTACGCCGAGAAGACGTTCCATCTCCAGGCAGATGTTAACTATGTTAACATGTTATATAAAGGTATTTGAATGTCACCTCTCTTCCTAATATGTCTCTGTCAAATAATGTAATGCATACCTGTTCTCATACGTGTTTGCTCACTGTCACTTCACGCGACACTCACACTCTTTGCTTTTAATAACTGAATATTGTTTCACTTTCTATTATATTACGAAACAAGAAACGATGTTCAATAAAAAGGTGTCACAACTATTAATATTTTCTGTCTTTGATGAGGTTTAGACAATAACTAACGACTGACGGGGAATGACATATTATCTTTCCCGAGCTATATGAATAACTACTTATTCTCAAGCCTTGGCTTGTTGTTATTTGCATTATTTAACGTCGCACGCACAACTAAGGTATTTCGGCGACGGTCGAGCCTTGGCAATGAAATTACGCAATTAATATAACGAGGGAAAGATAATCTGACATTCCCCTTTACGAGTTGGTTATTGTTTTTATTACCCATATCAGTTTTCGATCTAGAAAACGCTAAAATGAAAACAGCAGTTTCTCTATAGGGAAACCCGCTATATGTGGGGAATCCCGATATCCCTACGCGTGTGATGCGGCGTCATTTCATTTACCTGGAGTCAGCCAATCAACAGTCACCAAAAAGTGTAACCTCCCTTGGGACTTACAGGAAAAATACTACCCTATGTCCTCCTCCCCGCTAAATACGCAACCTTAACGCCCTACTCAATTTGCCCTCGCTTTCAGTCATTACAACGTCTATCAACACTGAATAGCTCGGCGGGCTTGTGTTCGAAATTCGCATCATGTCGGAAAGATCGAGCACGTAAAATCTCCAAATCATCGTCATGATCATTAAGACTGAGCTTGTTCAAGAATGCGCAGACAGAGGGACAGATTGTACCTTCTGATCAACTATTCGGTGTTCACTTAATAGCGTCAACTCTTCAAACGTCTAATGCATAAGCCTCTTTCACATTGGTACAAATCAGTTGGAAAATATATTTGCGGTCTCAAACCTATGATTAGCAATTTATATGATGTCCACTGGACTGCCACAGCACTAACATACCCTGCACACACGAACCTAGTCTGTCTCACAGTCCCTGAACCACATTAATTTCCCTACTGCCAAGCCCTCTCTGCAGTGCTAAAGCCCTAAATAAAGCAAGTCTAGATTTCCTCAGGTTCTGAATCTCTGGTCTCCCTAGGACTCCTTTTCAATTTAAATGGGCTTGTTTGTTACTATCAAAATTATATATATTCAGAGACTAAGCCTTAGTCTAACATGAACCAGGACCTTACTGCCACCGTGTAATTGTGGGACGCTATCGACGGACCTCTATGCGGAAACCCGGACGGACACACAGCCACTACTGATAAAGTGGCAGGATATGATTCATGGCCATTACGAGGATGCAAAATGTCACAGAGCTGTGCTGTTGAAGGCACTATGTCACACCTTATTTCTCTAAAATATTATCTCAATAATACTAACTATCAGCCCTCAGGGACGCTACCATATAAATTATTCCCCCTAAAATACGTATTTAGATTACAATATTAAATTAAAATGTTCGAATGAATTTATGCAACATTGCAATAAATCGACCCCTATTACATTATTTGAAGCAAACCCCACAGAGTTACGTCCTTAGGAACGCTTTTTACGAATATCCACTAAGTTGTCTGGTCCAGAATCGATTATTTACAGACTACCGCCATATAGCTGGAATTAATATCGTTGTGTGTGGCGTAAAACTAAACTTACTCACTCACTATCATCCATGCATCAACACCTTCAAGCGTATACATCGCCCGATCGTTGATAGTTCGTGAGTTCATGTATACACAAGCAGGACAGCAGGCGTATCGTATACAGCACACAATCCACCAGGACGCTGATAAGCTAGTGCAGGCTCAAACAGGTAAGATGGCTGTCGGATCTAGGACGGTCGTCATATCTCTTGCTGGTGCGGCATTACTTGCTGTTGTAGTTCTATATATTACCCAGGATCAGATCGGATACACAAAGAACACCATCATGCGGATGATTTCAAGTGAAGGTAACACAAATAACCATACCGGAATCATTGAGCTGAGATGAATCACGATAACAGAATCTGGGTGTCGCTTATAATGTAACATTACAAACATCAGAGGCATTTTAAGTCAGCGTGACCTCTTTTCCAGCAACAATCTCTCGTTCTTCTGCAAAACTAGCCTGCACGCTGTACCTGTGAGGCATGTGAACTGTCATGCCGATAAGATTGTACCAACTCTTTGTGGTCAGTGTCATTTCCTGGGTTTTCTCTGTTATCAGCTGAGGAAGCGAAAAATATGTGTCCTTTCTACCATTTACCAGTGACAAAATTTCTTTTATTCTGTCGACATCAGGTCTCTTAGTCGATGGATAGTTTGACTGTTTACGGAATAGCCAGTGTATTGTTCCAATAAACTGTCCAGTTAGTTTTAACAACATTCAAAAATTTACAATTTATGTCAGATTTGGCGTGTTATGTGAATGTAAACTGCACTATTGATGACTGTTCGTCATCTTTCTTTGCGGTGATTGTATGAACATAAGGAGATGCCAGCAAACAATTGAAGTAAGAAAAAGGAAGCTGGCAAATTGTGAACTGGTTGTCCTAGCAACCGCCGTCTATTCGCTCATTAAATGCTTTTTCTCAATGTAAAAGTGATCGCTGCCTCAAAAACTTAGAGGTAATCTCTCAGTCGCAGATAACGAACTTACAACACACATAGACCTAGAAATATATAGGTACTTACCGTTGGGCATCTTAAACAATACTGGCTGAAATAATTGTTGTAAACAATGAGAAAAATTGTAACAATGAAAATGCGTTTAAAGAGAACTATTTGGTAATGTACCTACAACTGATTTGCAGTCATACCATTCTGATGCCTTTAGCTCCCTGTTTACGCTTCGGATGAAAATCGAAGTTCATTGAAACACTGTACATGTTCAATTTAGCTCGTTGACCCACTGAACAAGTCACAGCTATCCTTGACATGACAAACTAGTTAATTTTGTGTTTGTGGGCTTGTTGCACTCTGATATATGGCGGCGGCCTGTACATAATGAAATCTGGACCAGACAATCCGGTGATTGACATAATGAGCGTCGATCTCCGCAAATGTGTACGATCGAACGCATTAATCTCGTAAGCGAGTCTGACCACCCCGTCCCGTTAGTCACGTAACAACAATCATGGCTTCCTGAGGACCAAACAAGGATTAGGGTTAGAGATTTACTAGTTGGAAAAGCTTTAGTCTTTTTAATATGGCATGGCATTTGACACAACAACAGTTCAGTTGTATTGTATTCTGTTGAACACAGTGGAAACTGTGAAAGAAATCACGGCAGTATTTCACTTGCTGTTGGTTTGTTGTTCAACGCCGCACTATTCCAGCTATATGACGGCGGTCTGTAAATAATCGAGTCTTGACCAAACAATCCAGTGATCTACAGCATGAGCATGGATCTACACACTTGGGATAATTCACTTGCATTAAACTTTATTAAACTAAAATTATTTACATTTTTCAAAAGTAAAGAGGTTTGGTTTGGGATAACCGATGGTATTGTCACAGAGCAAACCATTTCAAAAAGTTTCTTTGAAACGTCATATATTCAAACGCCCTATTTGTTTCAATTTATGTCCAAAGTGCACTATCTGGCATGATCAGTCGGAGAGAAGACCGATTCCGTGGTGTAGTGGTTAGAGTGGTGTAGAGAGCGTTGACCCCGACCGCTCTATAGTAAAATACCTTAAAATATGGTACTTGTTGGTCCCTTCCTGGCGCTCGGCATTAATGGGTAAAACAAGGACTGGTCAGCTCGGAGCCAGTATAATGTGTCTGAGAGGACGATTCATGCTTTACTGCGGCATGGTATCTCAGTGAGCCAACAATATAAAACCAGCTTAAGTCTGGGCTAGTACAAGCAGCCACACATACATACATACGCATGCACGTCGTCACATGAGAGAAATATTCTTAAGTACGACGTTAAACCCCATTGCACCTCACCAGTCGGAGAGACGGTCTCCAGTCTAGAGACGGGCCCAGGTCATCGACAGATGCGGACAGATTGTGCGGGCTAGTCGCCAAGGCCGTCGCCTCGACGATGAAGAATTGCCGTCCGACTTCTGCATGTGTGTAAGTGACTGAGAGAGTCTCTGCACCGGGAACATTGGCCACTCCGTCCCGTTGTGCGTTCTGTTTCGGGTTTACCATTAACTTGTACCATTTCGACCATTATAGATTCGCGAGACCTTCGCGCTCCCGGTGACAAAAAAAAAAGTACACTTAGTCATATTTGGCGGCCACGCAATTTGGAACCAGAACTAGTTCTTGAATATACGCTTGTCACCGGAAATCTGGTACCGGAAGTAAGCTGGGCTCCGTCCCGCATTTCGCAAGTTGGCGCGGAAAGGAAGCCGGGAATCAGTTTAGTACCAGAAGTAGCGCCTCGCGAGACTCGCCAAAACTATAACAAACATGGAGCCCTGCCGTCGTCATTAACTCTTCCCGTTGACTTTTGTCTTCCGTTGTGAACCTTCCTGTACTACCTTCCCAGGGCGCAAACAAACGCCCTTGGTCAGTATCTTGCGATCACCACATGACACACAAAGCAACCATTCATTGTAATCGTAAATGTGTTCCTTTTACTAGCTGTCGATATATCGGGAAATACGTCATATCTCACATTCCTTATGCTGAGGTGGATGCTTTTATGTACAGCAGAAAATCGAGATTGTTCATCGTTTGACCTTCTATATCCATTAGGCTGTGCTAACAGTATATCTTGTATAGTCATTCGTACTTTTATGTGTTCCCTTTCTCCAACCTCACCTTGAGAAAAAACTCTTTTGGATCGGACATTGAGCTAAGATAACATGGTAAATTAACCTTTAAAATGCATGTTTATGATCTGGTCGCTTGGCATTCTCCAGCTAGATATAGGTGGGGAAAGATTAAGCTGACCTTAGTTTCAACATTGTGGTAGGGTTAAAGTTTTTTTTGTGTGTGTGTATTTATCATATTGAAGAAACAGTAAACAGGTTTGGCTTGGGCTAGCTCATGGTATTGTCATAGAGCAAACCATTTGAATAAGTTTCATTAAAACTTCATATATTCAAACGACGTATTTGTTTCAATTTATGTCCCCTTTGTCTGGCATGATCAGTCGGTGAGAAGACCGCCTCCGTGGTGTAGTGGCTAGAGCGTCCGCCCGGAGAGCTGAAGGTCGCGGGTTCGAGCAAAATACGTTAAAATATGGTACTTGTTGGTCCCTGCCTGGCGCTCGGCATTGATGGGTAAAACAAGGACTGGTCGGCTCGGAGTCAGTATAATGTGTCTGAGGTTCATGTGTCAACCAAGCCAGCGAGCCTGACCACCCGATCCCGTTTGTCGCCTCTTACAACAAGCGTGGGTTACTGAAGATCAATTCTAACCCGGATCTTCACGGGTCGATACCCACTCTGGGATCTATTTCCAAAATATGTTTCTTTTCTGGTAAGCAAATTCTCTGCTCCTCTACAAAATAGTCGTAATTCAAAATTTGCAACACAATATTCTAGTCGCTTGTTTGTCTGATTTGTTCGCCATGGCCTGAGTATGATGTGTCGCGTCGGGCTGTGTGAGTTTTACATTATTTAGGCAATTTGTGTGAATTCCAATTGATACCTTTAGGGCAGGACATGCGTACCCTTTACACGAACACCTGGTGTCCATTCCTGTGATTTTCACACTTTTTAGCCCTTTAGACCAAATTGAATATGTGTCTGAGGAGAGTCGAGACTGGGTATTCTTTATCGCTGACGTCAACATTTAATGGTTACCAAATATTTGCCAAGGATTTCAAAGGGCTTATACTCATAGCCAGAGCTACAGATAACTTTTTGGGTCATTGGGTGATATACTCGCTTGTGTTCATCTCAATAGGGTATCCTAATTTTCCTTTTAGTAACCAAATAAATTGTACCCATCTCACTCACACTTAATTGGGTATTTTGCCATTTCCAATTAATTGTAACAATATAATAAAGATTAAATTTTAGTTTACGTGTTTGTTATTTTTATTTGATTGATATTTGAGGTTTGGTGAATGTTAAAAACAACTAAAACATGATACATTCTGCATTCAGTTTAATACAAACATCAAAGATTAGATATGCATGATTATACACCAAATTATTTAACTGTCTGACACTGATGCAAAACAATTATAAGATGGAGGTTTATGTCTCGAATACTGGAGTAAAACTGTCAGTCTCTCCCAAGGACCCAACGCTTGGTGAAACAAATTTCCTCACTTTGACAGGTCTAGCTTTATAGTCAGCTTCAAAGCGGGATTTTCTTCGCCTTTTCTGTATCAACCACATGCACAGCAGGGGTACAATCTTAGACTTCAAACTTGGGACCAAGCATCTTGATCTTCAGCAAGGTGTCAAGCTTTTGTGATGATATAGAAGATCTGTACTTTGACTTCAGACGATTTTGGGCACTAAAGGACCGCTCACATTCCACACTTGTTATTGTCATACACAACCCTATTTTTGCCAATAGGCAACAGTTGGGCAACAAAGATGAGTGAACATTTATCACTCTTCTGCACACTTGACTGAATTCGCACGTTGAATAAGCCCCTTTCATCATCGATCGTAGACGAGGCCACTCATCCATCAGTTGTGCTCTATTCAGTAGAGGTTCCACATTCTGTACATTCTCCTCATACCCTTGCTGCTTGTCCCCCTCAACAACTTTGACATTCTTCTCAGTTCCATAAAACTCAGCCAAATGAGCCAAAGCATCATCAGATCTTGACTTGTCTGCATTAGCCATGCAGAGTTCAAATACTTGAGAGAAGTCATTAAGGATTTGTCGGTCCTCTTGCCGAAATCTGGATCTTATGTTTTTGCAAACATTCTTAAGATACTCTTGCCGCAGCCGTTTGAACTCACCATCCATGGTACATCTGTATGTAACCTTTTCTTCACAATAGATTTCCTTCTTGGTAATTTTCTCCTTGATATCTACC